TTCTCTGCTAACCCGGCGGATGTGGCCCCACGCCCTTCCCTTGACATTTTCCTCCCCCTCCCCGGCGGGGAGGCATCGTATCCTGCTGGATCCTGGGATGGGGACGTATTTGGGGACAAGGGGGTTGAGGGCAGGCCGAGCGTCCCGGTACCTGCGCCATTTCCAGGGCGTTCATGACGGCGGCAAAGCTGAACATGTTGCCCATGGTGCTCTTGAGCTCGGCAGCCAGCTGGATGCTCTTGTGCAGCAGGGCCGCCCGCTCCTCCGTGCTGCCCGTGCAGCCCAGGATGTCCACGGCGATCATGATGGACATGGTGTGAAACCTGCCGTGGGGACAGAGCAGGAGTCGGCGCCGGGACACGGAGGGGCCCAGGCCGGCTCCGAGCTGCGTCCCAGCGCTCCCGGAGCCGGGACCACGCGGAGGGATCCCCTGGCCCTACCGTTCCAGCAGGTCGAGCCGCAGCTGGTGGCCGTGGGGCAGGGTGAGCAGCTCCATGCCGGAGCTCACCCCCATGAGCCGCTGCATCTCCGTGGTAACCCCCAGTATCCTAGCGACCTGGCGAGGAGGAGGAAGCAGATTAGGGCCTCTGCTAATGAAGGAGAGGCCGAAGGGGCCTCGGGCATCTGATCCCCTCCTGCGTCACCGCCAGCCCGGCCTCCCCCTGCCTGGGGCTGACCCAGGCCTGGAAGAGACACACTGGGATGCTGAGTGTGGGGGGATGCTCTGTGTGCAGGGATGCTCCATGCCTGGGGATGCTCCATGCCCGGGGATGCTGCACGTGGTGGGGGATGCTCAGTGCCTGCGGATGCTGAGTGTGGGGGGGTGCTCCATGCCCAGGAATGCTGCATGTCCAGGGATGCTCCATGTCCAGGGATGCTGCATGTGACGGGGGGATGCTCACTGCCTGGGGATGCTGAGTGTGGGGGAATGCTCCATGTGCAGGGATGCTCCATGCCCAGGGATGCTGAGTGCGGGGGGATACTTGGTGCCTGGGGATGCTCCATGCCTGGGGATGCTCCATGCCCGGGGATGCTGCACGTGGCGGGGGATGCTCAGGGCCTGCGCGATGCTCCATGCCCAGGGATGCGCTCCAGGGATGCCCCGCTCCCACACTAGCCCTGCCACCAGCTCTAGGTTCCAGAGCCACCAGCAGCACTGGAGCCCCGTCGGGCAGTGCCGCCCGCTCTCCGCGCGGCCATACCTGGCAGTCCACCTTGGTGATGTGCTTGGCCAGGGTCTTGGCGTCCACCTCTGCCAGCAGCTCCTTGACCTTCTTGAGCACGGCCATCTCCAGGGGCTTGTTCTCCAGCGGGATGAGCAGCGAGCGGAAGGCCGCGGGGTTGAAGGCCGAGCTCGTCTCCGTGGCGGGGGGCACGAAGGCCCTCAAGTCCAGCTCTCCCTTGAGGCGCTGCCCGGCCTCCGCCTCGCCGGGGCCGCTCTCCACAGTCCCTCTCTGCCCTTCCTCCACCTTTAGCCTCTCCACGTAGCTCTTTGCAGGGAGCTGCTTGGCGTCCTGAGTTGGCCGTTCTCTGCTGCCGGGCGAGCCGGGGTGCAGCTGGCAGTAGTGGCCCGTGTCCGGGTCGCTGTAGCTGTTCACGGAGGGCGAGGGGGAGGCGCGCGCGTAGCCGTGGCAGGGGCTGGAGT